TTCCCATGTCTCAGCCTCCTGAGTATCTAGGTTATAGGCATGTGCCACCACATCCAGCTAATTTTTTTGTATTTTTAGTAGAGATGGGGTTTCACCATGTTGGCCAGGCTCGTCTCAAACTCCCGACCTCAGGTGATCTGCCTGCCTCAGTTTCCCAAAGTGCTAGGATTACATGAGCCACTGTGCCTGGCCTTATTTTAAAGTTCTGTAACCTGCTGAAGTCTCCTTTGACAAAGATAGAATGTGGTGTTTTGTTTTTTTCACTTTATTCATAGAGCATATTCCATAGCCCTTCTGATCAATTTAAAATGAGTTTAAGAGTGAGAAATTAAGGACTGCAGATAGAATGTCTAAAAAGAAGCTAACAGTAGAGGCCTGGTGGGAGGATGAAAGACAGGGGCAAATGGAGGACACTGGAAGATTAACAGAGACACCTGCTGCTTCTAACAAAGTCATTCTGGGGGAAAAAAATCTTAGAAAATATTCTTCATGCCTACAACATAGCATGGATTAAACAGTTTATGATCTTTATCTGTAAAGGATGACTCAATATTTTCATTTTTCTTACAAGCATTGCCTATGTGGGTGTATGCAAATATATACAGGTAAAAATAGAAAGGTATATCCACACACAAGAATATATGCCGGGGTGTGTGTATGTGTGTGTGTGTGTGTGTGTGCGCGCGCGCGCAAAGGCACTTGAGCTTGAGTGCATGCACTCATCTTAAATAACATAATAGAGGAATAAAGGGGCTATGACATAAAACTGAATAGAAGCACTGGGCCTCATTCCTGCCAAGACCATCCCAAGGTCAAACTAGAGCCTATTATTTTAAATCTTAGGGAAATTAAGCAGGCATAGACTCAAGAAAATACAAGCTGTGGTTAACTTTCCACTTTTTTCTACTAAGATGGATGATCAAGCATTTTTGTGACATCTAGTCCTCATTATCCCTTAGTTAGCTCATGAGAAAATAAGGTATAAAACTAAACTAGCCAAAGTATGAAGCCATCCCTTCCCAATTTAATGAGCAACTAACTAATCTAAAAGGAAAACAGCCATTACTTACACAGCCATAATGTAGATGCAACATGGCATATAAATCAGTAACTCTTGTATTGCAAAACAGACAAATAGATTAATGCATGTTGCAAAGGATGGGTGAAAAGATCGATTAGGTTACTGATTCAGACCATGAACTTTCTCTCAATATACTGCATTTAACTTTTAAATAAGGTTTAGGAGAACCTGTAACATTTTGCTCACTGACAGAGCTATATTTTACTAAGGGCAGAAATTGGTTAGTCTATAAAAATTAAATTATGCCCCTTTCACTGTATCTAGTCAAGAGGAAAAACTCTAATTACAAGATTGCACTGTCAAACAAATGCAAATTCACATTCTTTATTCCCTGGTTTAAAAATTCATACTGGAGGGGGCTTCTATTCTGAAATGAAATCAATATTTCAAATATTTTGCAGAATGCATTGACAAGCAAGAGCAAAAGAAATGTCATTATCAAAGGTGCTAGTAAATAGACACCAACTCATTAAGTGCAGAGCTGGTGAGAACAAGTCATTCGTTATGCAAACATTTAAATATCAATTAGTAAGGACAATGAAAGAAGCTGAAGTAAACCTTCCCTTCCCCACAGCCAGTGCCTTATTATTTCAAAAATGACCAAAGGGAAAAAGAGTGGTGGGTAATAATCTCGGAACCTAATAGGAATGTCACTCTGGGGAATAGGTAAAGGTTAATTTTAAATGTACTTCCCAATTGAAAATTAAATGTACATGCCTTGAAATTCGTAAGAGCTGAGTTTGCAGACTTAGTCTAGAAAACCGAAGGCTGACGCATATTGCATGGCTGGTATTTTTTTGGAAGGAGAACACCTTTCATTACTGCTTAATGTCAGACTGGCTTAGTTCATTAAATTTTCTTAGTCAATTTAAAGCCCTGGTTTTTCTATACCCATAAAAAATGTCCGTCTGCATAGCACTCAAACTTAAAAATCTCATGAGTTATTTCTCAGATTCTTTTGACATCCACTTCATGGACTGTCTACCTGGACTGTTAGGTGAACTTGGTGGATATGAAAAATGGTCTAAACCCTTTGAACTTTGCCTGGGCTATCTTTTCAGGCAGACCTGGCAGGATATTTTACGACATGCTGGCTGTGTGGTATTACTGCAAAGGAAGCAGGCTTCAAGTGCCTCTTAGTAACAGTTGACTGGTCAACTTGGACCAAGCATCTAATTTTTCTGGACCTTGTTTTCTTCCATTAAAACACAAAAACGTTTGTCCAAATCAGTTCTCAACTTGGGTCACCCCAGAATCACTGGGAAGTTTGTAAAAGACCCATGGCCAGATATACTACAGATTTATGAAATGGGCTTCTTTAAGTGGGAATCCAGGCATGTGGAGCTGAACCAAAACTCCCAGCAAGATTCTAACATGTATCTTTAGGAGTTACTGGGCTCTTTCAGCTCTAGTGTGCTGAGATTCTCAGTACAACATATATTATTGATCAAACTTAAAAGAAATTCTGACTTCAATTCTTAATAGCATCATTTAACAGGCATTATTTTCTCTGGAGTGGAGATGTTGACCATGTAATAGAATTACATGCTGACTGGCTGTGGCATGAGCAAACCAGATCTTGAAAGAGGACCACCAGATTTTGTGAGATACTACATGTACAACCCCCAGAAAAGAGCCAGATGCCCGGGCACAGAACAAGAGTTAGCTCTTGTTACTATGATGATTATACTACAATTGTGGTCACTCGATCAGAGTTTTAGGTTTGCTCTCTATCCTTGTTGGCAAAGAATTAATTTGGTCTCTCAGTGCATGGACATAAAAATGGAAGTGCCATGGAGGTATGAACTCTCTTGGACATGGCTCTTTTGATGCAGAAACAGATTCATTTAGCTTGCTTCTATGGAGTTTAGGCTTAGAATATCTTGCTTCCACGTGCACAGACCCAGACCTAACATCCTTCCCGTCATAACTTTTGAGTTCATCAACTGCTTCTGTTTGTTGAACTTCACAACTGAAACTGCCTTATACTTGATTCTGTCTCTACCTGTTGGCCTATGGCCTGTGGCCAGAGCGCCCTGGCTTGGAGACAAGGTGCCCACCTTGTCTGAGCTTACGGAACACAAACGACCTTAGGCCAGGCACTTGAAGACTGTCTGTGCTGAAGTTCCTGTGGGTAAAATGGAAGTTAAAATGCCTTCTCTGCTCCTTCTCCAGAGTGGTTTTGAGGACAGAATGAAGCAATGAAAAACAGCACTTTGAAAATGGAGTGTGTGGTACTCATCTTAGTTACACTTTTAGAGAAAAAGAAATGTCTCCAGAAAAAGGACCTCTTCTAACTCAAATTTAGCTTACATTCCTTTCTCAACCATATCCCAGGTGATGGAACATGACACCCAGTTAAGCAGTGACCTTGCAGACTCTGAAGAAGTTCTTAACGTGTCCACAGTACATTCTCATTTTGTCTGGCTCTAAACTACTGGCTCAAGAAAGCTGCAAATATTTGAACATAACAATAAAGTGTTAACAGTGATTCTGATTAAAATCACAGCAGTCCTTCTGGTAAGTAGAAGGGCAGCAAATTTTTTGCTCAGGTAAAATGTAGGAAAAAAACACAAGTAGAAAAAAAAATTTGTTCAAATTATCCCTTTCAATCTTAGCTAAAGAATGGTCATGAAGTTTGTTTTGTTTCGTATTAATAGCCCAATGGGATTAATAGCCCAAATCCCATGTGCCAAAATAATGCTTGCTGCATTTCTCCGGACAAGTTACCCTTTCAGAGCAAGCATGTTCACGGCTTCCCAGAAGAGTGATTTTGGGGCAACAAATGATGACCTATAAAAAACAGCCCTTACAACTGCACACACACCACACCACAGCACAGCACAGGGACAAGCTAACATCTGCTTTCCAAATAGCCACGAAGATAGCAATACGTTTCCAGGCCCTTCTCTGAGAAGAAACGACTTTTCCAAGGTGCTGGCTTTAAAACTAGAGCCCTTGCGTTGACTTGCAAGTGGGTAAAGGGAATCATGTAACAGTTCTAATCACCAGGCTCTGCAGGCAGTTCACAGAACTAAAGGGAAATGGGGGCTTTGGTTCATTTAATATCAGCCATCAAGTTATGCTATTTCCCATCTTTTCAATAATGGCAAGGTCTGTGTTTATGGTTTTGACCTTGGAACAGCTCTACCTATTCTCCCAAAATTCCAATTATAATTTGGGGAACTTTGACTTTTGAACAGACAGCTGGAGTAGGGAGTAGGGAGTAGGGAGTAGGGGGAGGGTTGGAAAATTCTAGCTCAGTGAGAAGACTCTTGGTCAACTAGAGGGAGTGAGGGCTATCCCACAAGACCCCTCCTTTCCTCACAGGATGCTCAGGCCCTCTTCTCAGCTAGCCAGCAGCTAAGCCGGTAGGGCTGAGAACGACATTCCTTTGAAAGATCTTGGCAATTTGTGCCTGGAAGTTGATGCATTAGTTCTAAAATTAAATAAAGATCCTGTAGTGTTCTTCAAGGAAATATGGTGTGCCTCTATGACAAAATACATTTTTCAAGCTCTGACCTCTGGGAACTTCAACTAGCTCCATATTTCAGGCTGACAATGCTCACAGGCTACTGTCTAGTTGCCCAAGCCAAGGGTAGTTAGCCATATATTTTCCACATCCATCAGCTTTTAGCATAGGGAGGTGAAGGGAGTAAATAAAAAGAGGAGAACCACTAATTTAAATGCATTTCCCCTCCCAAGACCCTTGGGGGAAAGCCCTGGTAATTAACTCTAATGAGATTAAAGTAACTTGGAACTCTTCATTTTCCCAGCACTGTAAAAGTAAATCTGCGATAACCGGTGTGTGGGTATTAAATCAAAGTCAATCCTTTTTCCTCCTGTTACTTAATGGCCCCCTCACTCCCACCCCACAGCCCAGGCTTAAGAGCGTGGGGGAGGGCTGCCAGGCTCTTACCGGCACTTTGTTCCATCACTTCTTTCTGACACATGTCTTGAACGTTCACCGTGCAGTTGACGATGAACTCGGGGGAGGAGCAGTCGTTGTTCAGCTGGAATTCTTCACACTGGTAGCACTGGATTTGCAGCGCAAAGCCTGTGAGACAGACGCAGTCGGGTTCAGATCCGGCCCCCACAGAGCCCACCCCGGAAACCGCGACCATCTTAAGTCCCAGAGCAGAGCGCAGCGGCTCCTGGCCTCGGGGAGGCTTGGGGATCTGCATTCCTGGGTTTCCGGTAGGGGCTGAAGCCGGCAGGGGGCGGCGCGGGTACCTAGGGTCCTAAAGGAGAAAGTGGAATAGTGCCCACGACCCCTGGACCCCGGCTGTAGACACAAAGAGCCCATCCGACACCACCCCAGGCCTTTTCCCAAGAAGTTGAAGGGAGGGAGGGGACGGTACCACACCAGCAGCGAAGTAGCTGTGGAGACATGAGTTAGCTCCAGCCTAAGCCAAAGGATTTGCCTAATTGATAATTGGCTACAAATTACTTAATTACTATTTTGGTACCATTCATGATTACATTCGCAGACGTCGTTTCAGTTTTGATTTATTTAATTTTTAAAATCAGCGTTTCTGTACCAGGACTCTGAGGATCCCTGAGCGACCACCTGGGAACAAGGGTGGAGGCGCCAGACGCCAAATGCTGCTGCGCCGCAAGTCCCCGAGCACGGGTCGGCGGCTCTCCTCCAGAGCCGTCCCTGCGGCGACCCGAGTGGCCACAGAGGGTGGGAGAGGGCGTTTGTGCGCGCGTGCACCCTGGACCCCGACCTCGCAGCCCTTTCTTCCAGGCCCTGGCTTTCAGGGCAACCGTTCGGCTAGGGCAGGTGGTTGGGGTCCCAGCTCTGCAGAGCTTAGTTCGGGAGCCAGTAGGCGAACTGGTGAGAGGACGCGAGACATTTGCGCCCTGGTCGCTTCGGCCTGGCTGTTCTCGCTGTACGCGCGCCACTCTAGACCCAACTGCCGGAGCTCCCCTAGCCCCTTATCTAACGCACTTTAAGCGCAGCAACTCTGCTTTGGCGCGGCTGCAGGCTGCCTAGCGCGCTGCTCACCTGTCGGCGGCGCCACTCCCACGGGGTGCCGGAGGCGCCAATTTGGCGGGGTTCGGGAGATGTCGCCCCCCTCTCCCTCACCGAGACCCCAGCACTGCTCGGACCCTCCCTCCTCCCAAGCCCAGCTTCTAAGGACCGTGCAGCCCGAGCAGCTGCAGCCCCGAGTCCCGCAAACCCGCCGCTCCCCGCTCTCCTCCTGCAGCGCGGGACATGGACACTTTCCCAACCTTGCGCTCCGAGGCACCAATCGCCGCCGCCCAACTCCCGCTGGGCAGCCCCAGCGCAGGGCCGGCTCGGAGGTGGGCGCCCTGGGGGCAAAAGAGCCGGCGGGTAGATGGGTTGTGCGCACCTGGCCCTAGCTGCTGGCCTCTGGATATTCTTACCTGGAAGCAAGAACAATCCGCAAAAAGTTGTCGCGATGCCTAGGACCCACATTCTCCCGGAGTCCCGGGGCCGGGAGCGGGCAGGTGCATCAGAGGAGGGGATCGCAGCGGAGGCTACCCCGGCCACAGCGGCTGTGGCTTCCGAGGCTGCTGGGGCCCGCGCTGCTGCCGCCGAGCCGACGGTCTTTGCTGAGAGGAGCCGCAGGTGCCGCTCGCGGCTCCTGCATCGCCCGTACTCCGGCTCCCGGCTGCGGGTCTCGGCTCCTCCTGCTCGAGCTCCCGGGCCGAGCGCCGCGCCTCCGGAGTTGGTGGCTGAGACTGAAGGAACTACTGGCGATCCGGAGCACCCACAAAAGTCTCGCCTTTTCTCCCCACCTCCCACTCCAGGCACCACGTGACGGCTGCCGAGTTGGGGTGGGGGTGGCGGCCGGCGGGCGGGGAAGGCTGGGACCATCTCTCTAGATTCCCCACCCCCTTCCTGCCTTCCTCCTCTCCCGCCTCCTCACGTTCTAGGGAAAGGGGCGCCGGGGGGTGGGGGAGGACTGGTAGTTTTCAGAGGTGGGGAGGCGCAGCAGGTGCCGTGGGGACCTGCCCGGTGCGGACTAGGGTCGGGAGACGGCGTGGCCAGTTGGCCCTTCGCGCATAGGGACGCACCCTTCTGGCTCCGCGTCTTCTGCGCCTTCCAGGACTGGCCAGTACCCTAGCGACTGGGTCCGGCCCACACAACTGAGGGTGTCCTGCTGCGGGCCGCTGAAGCCTGGCGCCCCGGGAGGCTGTCAGGAGGGGCGTGCATTCCCCGTGCGCCTGGCCAAGTTCCACACCCGCAGGCTCCCTACGGTGTCCTGTGCAGCCGTGCCTCCTCTTCCTCTGAGAAAGCCTTCCGTCAAGACCCAGTTCGGCTTGGCCGGTCTGGGTGGGCGTGTGGTAGGGACACTGCCTTGACTGTCGCGCTTACCCCGGCCGTCCCCCAGCTTCTCCCGCCTGCGCGCACCGCTGGAGGGTGCATTGACACTGCCCTGGTCGCCTAGCCTAGGAGAACGCCGTCCCGGGGACACCTGCTGCGAGATCCCACCAGAAAGCAAATTAGGGTGGAAAAGAGGGTTCTCTCCTCCATTCCTGGTCTCTAAAACGCCGGCCAGCTCCATCCTACTCTCCCCAAAGCCACCGATTTTTAGTATAGACTCCCGCGTCCTCTCCTGAAAGGCCATCCCAGCCTCGGACTCGGCCTCGAGCTGTTCCCCACACCCCTCAAATTCCTCCTCTTTCTGCAAAGTCCAAGAGACCCACCTGGCGTACTCACCGGGATGCCGGGTTCTGTTTTCGCCTTCCTTGCCGAGCCTTGCAGCAGGTGGTGCGGGAGACCGATTGTCCGCCGGAGCGCGTTGGTGCCCCCGCCCCCAATCCGCATATTCCCACCCCCTTTCCCCACATCCTTAGGGAGCATCCATTTCAGTGGAAATAGCCTCCTAAGCTTTGCCCCTCTTCACTCTTTTCTCCCGCGGCCACCTCTGGGGGCAGCTCTCTCAGGCCGGGACGCTGATCATTAATTTCTGCATCCTGCCAGCAGAGCTGGTCTGGAGGGGACTTAAATGACTTTCTTTGTAATTCCTCTGCAGAGATCGTTTCATATCCGCCTCAGTCTCTTTCTCTCCCCTCTTCATTTCTATTTGGTGAACCCCTCGGGAAGACTGAAATGCTTTGACCATTACTCACCTGTCTGCTGACTGTGATCTTAAAATTAGCTAAATTACTATCTCTAGAGCAAACGGGCCAGTTTATTTATTCCTTCGGGGAATCCATCCTAGGAGCACCTGTGAGTCAGGAGTCAAGTAATTGACTGGGCCAAAAGGTCCTTGAGCAAGTTCTTTTCATTATTCAGAGGGTGCAATTGTGATATAACTTTTATTCAGAAAGGAAACAAAAGGATTTTTAAAGTCTGAAAGACAAGGATATTTGACACAATTTTCATTTAAGATAAAATATAACAAATTGCACAAATTAACCAAATAACACTGATCATACAATAGTTTTTAAAGAAACAATTATGTGCTAAAGTAGCCATATAGCTCCTAAAAATATTTCTATTGTGCCTAGTTTACAAGCTCCTGTACATAAGCAATTATAAATAGTTCACATCTAGAAAAAATACACATAACCTTTAAAATAGAATTTATCCTTACATATAAACAGTCTTCGTAGAAAAAAGGATATTAAAAAGAATTCTTCGTAGCACCAATAATTTTATTTTTAAAAAGTGAGCATTGCAAATAGAAATTTGCTTTCATTTTTAGAGTGCCCAGATTTTAATAAAAAGAGCAACGAGATAAAAATCAAATAATATTCAAGGTCATAGAGAAGCACTAAGTAGAAGATAATCTAAATAAATGTCTGGAAAAAAATTGGTATTGGAAATAGAATTCGGTCATTTCTGATACGTCACACTCCCAGTGTCCAGACTTCAGGACCCTTTTCATTTTTCAGCAGAAGCAGAATTACACCTGTTACTATCACCTGAATCTCTGGCAACGAATCTGAAATTGCACTAAAATGAACATTTCTATCAAATTGATATGAAATGGAGATGAAGAGGAACCCTCTGTTTTTTTTTTTTGGCAGGCCCTGTTGAAGGTTTACAGAGTGTACCCACAAAAAATTTGAGGACTAGGACAATGAACTTCACAAAAACTTAAGTTGGGATTTTAAAAAATATATATTATCATCAACTTCTAAGATTTAGCACATTATTTCAAGAGCATGGCACTGATTCCATTTATTGCTGTCTTTTTTTGCTACAAATATAATTTCTCTTCCAAAATATTTACAACTTCTGTACAAATATTCAAAAAAAGTGCAAAATTAAGGATTCTGTATCATAGGTGTGTTTATGCTTACTCCTCTTGAAACACAATAAATGGAGTCTATCTTTATTGCCCTGTCAAAGCATAAGCTCTGGTGGGTTGCCTGCTGTGAATTCGACAATGAAGGCTCTGGTACTGCAATAGTGTATTGTTGTCATCTCTACAGAGTGGCTCATCCCCCGCCCACCCCCGTCATTTCTTAAGCGCTCCAGTCCTAGCTCACTAAGGGAAGAAAAGTCCTTTATACATCATTTGAACCTTGACTGGCACAGGAAGAGAAGCTATCATATAAAGAATCACTCAAAGATTCCAAGTTGTCTACCCCAGGTCTATCTGAACTACTCAAAGATGTCTCTTCATTTTTTTCTTTTTCTTCCTTTCGTCCTTCAACCTTGTTCAGAGAGTTCTTTTCTTTTTCTAATAAAATCACAGTATTGCTGTTAAATTTATTGAATGACTCCAGGGAAATTTTTGATAATCTATTCTCAGGATCGTCTTTTGTTTCTTCAAGTTGTTTCAATTTCTGCAATAAAAAGAAGAAAATATTAGAAACATATTTCTTTGGAAAATCAAGTTATCCTATCCAATATTCAATTATTGTCTGTATAAAGTACAGTTTAAAGGGATACAGAAAACCTACAAGTCTTTAACAATCTTCTAGTATAATTAAATGTAATAATAAAGCAAATTTTAGGGATAAATCAGGACTTTAATCATTTTACTGAGATAAATAGGTCCCAATTTGCAAATCAGTTAAGTGCCACTTAATTTCATTTTAAATGGATCCCTTTGAAATTTGTTCAGGTAAAGTGCCTTATTTTTCTTCATCAAAGTTTCAAACTCCTCTCTTTCCTTGCTAAGTATTAGTTGCACTTTTTCTAAATAAGAATAGGGATTGAATTTCAGCCAGAAGTTACGGTTATATACACACATATATATATATATATACACACACACACATATTTTAAAAGACATAAAAATCCCTTAACTTGCCATTTTTTAATACATTTAAGCTTATTAGAAGCATTGCCATTTTTGTATTTTGTCACTTTACAGGACTTAAGACATTTGGAAGAGATCTCCAGGTTTTTCGGTATAGATCCCAGAAGGCCCAAGGGCTTAAAAATCAAAGTGACAGGTGTACAGCTGAGTAACCACTCTGCTTGAGAAGGTCTAGTAATACCAATTTATATGGATATTACTGTTATTAACACCCTGTAGGACGTTATACAACACTGCAACCAAATTCAACAATTATCATAGGTAAACTCTGTAACTGTGAATATATTCTGTCGCTCAGTTGGCTCCTAAGGGCTAAGAAGGGAGGCACAGATGCGGAAAACAACGAGAAGAACAGAGATGTAAAAGTGTCTACACTGTTTCTATTCTTTTCCTCTTTCCAGCAGATATTCCATCCAAAAACAAGAAAGAAGCAGGCCCAGGGGCTTAGAGATGATAATAAGTTCTACCATTCATTAAGCATCCACGAGGTAAAAGACACTTAACAGATTCCAGCAGCTTTTTCACAAACCTGCAAAGTAAATGTCCCCATTTTAAAGGGAAGAAATACAAGGCTCAGAGTGACAAAGATATTTGCCCAAGTTTGCCCAGCAAATGGCAGAGATCAAGATTTGAATTTCTGTCTGGCTGCCTGCATGTTCTTGTTCTTTCCATTAAACCATGTTCTTATGTAATAAAGGACTAAATGTCCTGTTTTTCATTTTGTTACCCAAAAATTCCATTTAAAAAAACTTGCCAAACCTCTAACGTGCAGTTCTGCTGTGCACCAAGCTCCTACCCCCAACATTGTTAGACTGGACTTACAGGGGTGCAATGAGGATATGTGTTTTGATTGGGGAAAATAATACAGCCAAAGCCTATGGATTCTCACATGCTAAATATTTAACAGAGAAGAGAGAGATGGAAATGGCTTTTGTGTCTCAAGAGCAGACATGGGCAGAATTTCTCTGCTATAGGAAATGGTATAATTCTATGGGAATATTTAAAAATCATCCTAGATTTAGTGCTTATTTCATTATACTATTAACGCGCAGAAGCATTACTCATGGAGCTAATTTTCAATCTCAAACAGCTACCCTGAAACCAGAGGCGGGCTAAGGAACAGACTCCTAGCTGATTACAGAAAAGTGGCTCCATAATTAGAAATTACTTCATCCAAGAGCCCCTTTTAATACTATGCCAATTTGCCTACATTTACCAAATGTAGGTAATTAAAGGGCATTCAATGCAATTTTCTCTTTTTCTTTAAGAACCACAAATATTTTTCTCGACTATTTCTTATCTATGTGGATCTCAAGTTTATTCAACACACACTCACTATAAACTACGGCAAGGCAGGCTGAAGGTTTTGGTACTGAGGATACACAGCTGAATAAAATTGTGCCCTGCAGGGGATGGTTGATGCCCTGGGGGCAGACAGGCCGAGCTTCGATTTCGGCTTGGCCGTTTCATGGGCTGAGCGCTACAAGCATCCTTCTCTTCAGGTGTAAAATGGTGATAAGACACATCTTTATTTCAGGATTGCAATAAGTATTAGAAATAAAGAACCTCAAGGCTCTGGCAGACAGTAGTAGGTGCTCAATAAATGTAAGGCTGGGTCCTTATTCTAGAGTGGTGGTTGTCAAAGTGTGTTCCCCAGACCAGAACAGCAACATCACCAAGGAACTTACTAGAAATGCAAGTTCTTGGATCCTACCTAGACCTAATACATCAGAAACTCTGAGGGCCAGCAATCAGTTTTTAACAAGCTTACCAGGTGATTCTAATTACTGAAATTGGAGACCCGCTGGTCTAGAAGAACATGACCCCTGGCGGTAAGATAGACAGGTGGAAAGTATAATTCATTATGAAATGGTGGAAATTTGGAAAGAGTTAATTGCCATTAAAACACTCACTGTCATCAGGTTTTTAAATGTTTCAGGCTTGCAGATTTGTTGCTTGAGTTAATTATAACAAGGCCTACACTGACCAGGGAGGTTATAGAAATGAAAGAAGAGACCATTATTTTTAAAAAAATGCAAAAAACATAACCTTCTCAGGCTTCCTTTTATTTTTACAGTTTTGATGAAAAGTGAGTGCAGACATATTACCTGACTATAAAAACAACATCCATGCAAAAGTGACCATAAAAGCCAGCTGGCATTCAGACTCCAGGCAGAGCAGTCATAAGGAGTGGTGAGGGCTGCAGTCAGCTCAGGAGCATGTGCTGGATTTAAAAGCGGTAGCAGCTACTTAGATCTAGCTGTGCAGAAATCTGGGTGCAGATCTTTTGATTTCAGAGGTGAAGACATACATGTAGATCAATAGTTGCTTATATTTAAAACTCACTGATTTTTAATTATTGGCTCACATTTGAAGAAAACAATAACAAAATACCCAGTATGCAAACCAAATTTTAATCTTTGCACTGTTTGAGTTTCTGAGCTAGGAATGTTGTTTTATCCTTTTTTTTTAAGTGTCCTATCTTGCCTCCTCCACTCCCCCATTCCCCTTCCCCCAGCTTTCTTTTTGAAGGCCCAGTCCAATGCTAAATCAGCATTATTTTCTTAATGGAAACTTTCCCAAGCATCAGAAGCGTCTTAACTCTGGGTTTGGGCTTCTCAAGTGGTTCTGCCAACTAATAAAAGCACGAAAGTGGCTTACTTTTCTGCCTACAGGAGCGTACTGAACCTGAACACTAGCTCGTCAGATCTCAGATATTTTTAAAATTCTGTAATTGAATAACATTTACAGTTAACATATAAGGAGGGATTGAGGTGAAACAACAATGTGTTAATGATCTATCT